CATTCCCCGGGAGACCGTGTTAGCCTATATATTCTCAGGGTCCTTCTGCTAGCCAGTAACAGCTCTGGACAGTTGCCTCAGCGCTAGCCTGGTGTATGCATCCTCCTCCCTTTTCCTTTTCAGCATGAAGAGAAGTGTATTGATCAGAAATCCAGCTCTTTTCCCATTCATAGTATGTATGCACTACAGGAATGCAGACAGTGCTGTGGAGCATGTGTCCCTCTGGTCTGTGGTTTCCAGAACAGGGAGTGGGGAGAATCCTGCCAGGTTGTAGCTCTCCACCATAGGGTTTCTGACCTCTAGCTCTTCCTTCCTCTGCCTTGAGGTGTTTGGACGGCACATGTGTTAGCTTCTGGAGAGAACTCTGGCCCTGTGGCATCCAGGGATAGTAACTGTTCAGTGTTGGGTGCCTGGAGACCCATGCTCAGGCAGGAATAACTCCTGTTCCACCTGGGTGTGTAGAGATGCAGTGTTGAGGCTCTCCACTGGTGCAGATGCACTGGCACTTTGTGGAGTTCCCGGTTGCTCTGGGCAATCTTTCAGCGCCCAGCACTCGAAGGTGAGCTTCACAGCAGTTCCTTCAGTGTTGTGTGTTGCAGCACATCTAAGTTTCTGTTGCTTTGTTCTGTTCTTGCTGTTGTCTCTTGCATTGTACAGTAGCTATAACCATTCAGAGAAGAACTACTCCTGTAAAATGCAAACTGAGTAACTTATAAAATGTTAAAGGAATTTTAAAAAAAGAGATTTCAGAGCAGCAGTTACTTCTAATTTTTTCCCTGCATTTTTAGCAGATTGTATGGATTTTATATTAGCCTAGTAACTGTCAGGTTTTGATTGGTCAGACTAGTCCCAGAAATAAGGATCTCCAGCCCTTTTGTATCTTTTGTTACAAAATTTGGATAAAACTTTTAATAAAGACTTCAGTTTTTAAAAATCCATTGCAATGAATGCTGTCTTCACTGCCTCTGCTCTAGGAACATCAGAGCTGCAACCAACCTGCAGAACTACTGGGTTGAAGTTTTGGGGCAGTTTTTCTTGAGCAGCTGGAATCTCTTCTGGGAGTAGTGACTGTCCTGTTCATCCCAGGCATGGTGTTTTTTTTTTGTTTTGAGCCCCAGCTGAGCAGATTCCTGGTAAGTGCAGCTTGTCTGTTTTTAAATCCCTGCTGCAGTCTGGTGGGAAGGGAGGCCTCTAAGCTGCGGTTGCTGTGGGGATGCACGTGCGGAAGCTCTGCAGGACTGACTTGATCATGGCAGGGCTGTTTATCTGGGCAGAGGGAAGGAGGATGGGGATGGAGCTGGGGCCTCTGGTGTGGGAAGGCTCAGCAGAGAGGAGTGATAAAGACCATCCTGAGGCAGTGCAAAGAGGAGTCCCTGCAAAGAATGTGTCTGCAGGACCCATGTGAGGATGGTGCAGCCCTCTGCTATTCTGTGCTACTGTCTCTGCTTTTGAAAACTGCCTCAGCTGAGCAGCTGGGCTCACTGGTAGCTGCAGTGGCTCTTTCTGGTGAGCCAGGAGCTTGGTCAGTGCATGCATCTGCCTTTCTAATCTATAGAAAGTCTCAACTAAACACAAATTACTTAAAATAGACCACTTTTGTTCTGCTAGAAGCTCATCTCTGCTGAGGGCAGGGCTTACGCACTTAGGGGTGGCACAGGGTCAGGAAGAGGTTAGTGAACAATGGATGTGCTGGATCTGAGGGTGGGCACCCAAACTCCTGCGCCCTGGAGAAGGGAACCGGGTATTGGGGTTTGAACAGAAGCTGGGGAGGAACCCAGCAGTGGGCTGGGCTGGAGGGTTCAACGCTGCTGCCTGTGCCTGCTGGGGCTGGGAAGGCTGAGCTGCCAAGCTGTGCCCGATCCCACAGATCCAGGTTAGTTCCCCCCATCTCTTGGGGGAGGCTGGAGACATTCCTCACCTTGCTGAGGCTGCCTTATCCTGGTCTGGCTCTGCAATGAGTTGCTGCTCTGCCAGGTCTCTGCAGCCGTGGGCTTTAGCTTGGGCTTTTTGCTGTAGTGTCCTTCTATCTTGCCTGCTCAAAGAGGGGCCCGGTGTGTTGTACTGGGGCCAGCCTGAGGCCCTAACTGGATGAGAGGTGGGGAGGCACGGCAGCGATGCGGCCGAGCGTGCTGGCTCCCAGCCCTGCTTCGTGCTGCTGGCTCGAGGGGCTCGTGTGCTTTTCCAGAGCTGGTCTCGTAGCCCTGTTGGCAGCAGCTGCCTTCATCTGCCACCTACTCAACCCTTCTCCTCCACCCCTCCTGTGAGGGGCCTGCACCTTTCGAATAGAGACATGCTGCTTATCTCCCCACCCCAGACTTGTATCTGCCTGCTGCCAGCCCGCCCGCTGCTTTGGGCTGCTTGCACCCTTTCCCCCTGCTTGCAGATGCACCGGAGCTGGGTCTGGCCAGCTGGCTTTGGGCTTTCCCTGCTTTCCTCTCCTTTCTAGCCATCCTCAGCCCAGGCTGCTCCCTGCGTTGGAGCTGAAGGGTGCCTGTGCGGGTGCTCGCCAGCTGACTCACCCAGGGTGTAGTCTCCAAAGGCGAGTTTGGGGAAGGCGGTGCGGCAGGGCTGCCTGCACGCATGGGTGTAGCTGGCTGGGGGCAGGGGGGAGAATTAACTCATGGTGCTCTGAGCTGCTGCTGCTCTGTGCATGGAGTTTGCAGAGGGATGGGGGGGGGGGGCGCTGGGGCGCAGGGGTTCTGCTCT